CCACTGCACTCCAGCCTGGGCGACAGAGCAAGACTCCATCTCAAAAAAAAAAAAAAAAAAAAAAAAAAAAAAGTCTGCTGTCTCTGCAGAGAGCACAGTCCCTGGAGGACCCATTGGAGGGCAAACCAGAGTTACTCTGAGGAACGAGCATCTGCAGTACATCGTGACCTGGTGAGTCCCCAGCGACCCTCTGGCTCCCTCCCCTTCAACCCAGCAGCCTGCTAATGCCAGCTTTCTTTCAACCCCAAGGTATGGACTCTCTGCAGCTACAGCATACCTGTGGTTTAAGAAATTCCTACGTGGGACACCTGGTGTGTGACAGATCAGCTGCTAAAGCCCTGCCCCTGAATAATGAAGTAAAAAGACTGCCTTTATGCTGGATCATGTGCTGCTAGTATAAAGTTCTGGCCTTCTACCTTAAATGAGCTCATGACTGGTTGATAATAAAATCCTGGCTTGGTTTCACTCCAAAGAACTTTCCCAAAACTTGACACGCAAGTTACATCTCTAGGAAACAAAACGCCTGGTGTAAGAATATGTAAGGGCAGGAAGGACCAGGTGCGGTGGCTCACTTGAAGTCAAGAGCTGAGACCAGCCTGGCTAACATGAATCAGCCAGCCACCTGGGATGCTGAGGCACCAAAATATCCTGAACCTGGGAGGCAAAGGTTGCTGTGAGATCACATCACTGCAACTCCAGCCTGGGCAACAGAGTGAGGCTATCTCAAAAAAAAGGGTACTTCTTAGCCCCAAATAAGATTCAACCGAAGATACTCAACAGACGCTGGCTGAAGGAAAATTTGTATTTTAATTATTTTTATGTACAGAAAACTCAACAGTGCACATTTAACCCAGCTTAGTGGCAAGTTCTTTAGCCTTTGCCTTTTCGAGCTTGGCGATACGAGCCACAGACTTGGGACCCAGGACATTGCCGCCCCAGTGACGGCGGATCTGAAAAGACAGAAAGAGGCAGTCAGCTTGACTTGTTTTCTGATATTTTCAAGGTTATTAGTTGAGTTATTCTGTTGGACTGTTACAAGCTGATCGTCAGAACTTCTCGTAAGTTAAGCCAGCCAGTTATTTGGTAAAATGATTTGTGCATGACAATATTTTGTGTAAAGCTCTTACCTCATCATATCTGTCGTTGTAATTGGTCCTGATAGCTTCCACCAGCTTAGCCAAAGCGCCTTTGTCTTCCCTAAAAGGCAGGAGGGAAAACGAAAGTGGGGCTTTTTTTGGTCTTAGTTTCCCTTTTAGAACGCAGAAATATCTTCAGTTTTAGCTCAAGACAAATCTTTTGCCTCAGATGCAATGTTGACCACATGGTTTATTCAGGTGAAGAAATTCTTAACCATCATTGGCAAAAGTTCAAATACATTTTTTTTTTTTTTTTTTGAGACAGAGTCTCGCTCTGTCGCCCAGGCTGGAGTGCAGTGGCTCAATCTCGGCTCACTGCAAGCTCCGCCTCCAGGGTTCATGCCATTCTCCTGCCTCAGCAGCTGGGACTACAGTTGCCCGCCACCACGCCTGGCTAATTTTTTTTGTATTTTTTAGTAGAGGTGGGGTTTCACTGTGTTAGGATGGTCTTGATCTCCTGACCTCGTGATCCACCCACCTCGGCCTCCCAAAGTGCTGGGATTACAGGCGTGAACCACTGCATCCGGCAAATGTATTTCTTAAACTAAAAGATTGGCCTTTAAGGCAAAAGGAAACAACCGTGAGGCATGGATTAAATGAGCTAGGGGAGGTTTGGGGCCAGGCTGTGTACTTACGAGTTCACCTGTGTGAAGGCGACAGTGGTGCAGGTCTTCCTGTGGACTAGACGGCCCAGTCTGGCCTTCCCCTTGATAATGCAGTAAGGGACCCCCATTTTACGACACAGGGCAGGCAAGAAGACAACCAGCTGGAAGAAAGCATTAGCTGAAGAGTGTATTTTGACCTAAAGCAGTAAATTTCAGAGTTCGCTTGGTGGCAACTGCTCAGGGTTAAAAAGCTCATGGATTTGCACTTCAAGGTTGAATTCAGTGAGAGATTCACATCATTGCAAGAGCCATGCATGTGCTGGATCTGTGTCAGTACTGTCCTCACCCACTTCAGTCCCACCACTGACTTGGCATTAGGCCTACTCTCTCTTCCTAATACTGACACAGAAGCCCTTGGGTTAGCAGTCAACAGGCAAACGCACCTCGATGGGATCCACGTCATGTGCAATCACCACCAGCTGAGCCTTCTTGTTCTCCACCAAGGTGGTGACGGTGTTAACTCCTAGAACACACAACCACTTTGTGAGCAACCACAGGGCCTGCTCCCGTCACAAGAAGCTGCTGGGCTCAGCTGTTGACTCAGTGTTAAAAAGGTCGGTTTTACTCTTCACAGTGATTTCAGGCGAAGAAATTCTACATCACTGCAACAGCCTGCCCCCAGTGTTCACCCTAAGGTGGGACCTACTCACCTGCTCGAAGGACAGGTGGTCTCTTAGTGGGGACATCCCCTTTGCCAGCAGCTTTCTTCTCGGCCCGGGCCAACAGCCTCTGCTTCTTCTCTTGCTTTGTCTCTGGTCTGTACTTGTGGGCCAGCTTAAGCAGCTGAGTAGCTGGAAAAACACTCTTCAGTTTAGGCTTACAGTCAAGGTTCTAATCCTTGTCACTTAATACAAATGCTAGACCACTGTCCTGCTGTATGATGACTACAATGTAATGACAGATGCAGTTCAAGAAACCTAAGGCCATCCACCCTCATGTTCTGGATGAAATAAGGAATCCTTGCCTGAGAAACTCTTTCCATGCCACAGAACCTCACCTGTTTGGCGGTCCAGGGCCTGGGTGAACTGGTTAATAGCAGGAGGCACTTTCAGCCGCTTATAGAGAATGGCTCTCTGCCGCTGCAACCTGATATAGCGAGGCCATTTCACAAAGCGGGTGAGGTCTCTTTTGGGCTGGATGTCCTGTCCTGAGAAATAAAGGGTGACATCGAGAGAGGTTCAAATCCCATGTCAAGTTCACGCCTGAGGCCACCAAGAAGGGCGTTGGTGCATCAGCGATCTTGGTGGTTTAAAACGTCATCACCATCTTTCAGATAGCAAATATTCTTTTACATCATCTGCACACAAACACCTGAGAACCCGAGAGCACGATGCTTTTCCTCATCTAACAAGCCAAGGCGCCACCAAGTACAGCAGAATTGTTGTTCTAGTGCCTCGCCGTGACAATGCTACTGTACTTGTTTCCGGATGGCTAAGCTGAATCCAAGGTCACTACCCTATTGAGCTGAATGCTCACTCAGCAACTCCCAATGAAAGCAAGGAGCATGTATCATCATTACCCCCGTCTCTAAGAGACACAGGTTAAGGACTGCGACCACTTTACACCCACTAAAACCTACAAAATACGACACAACCCAATTACCATTTTCCCTTGGGAAAACAGTTTTCATTCTGCCGTTACTCACCAATGCCAAAATTCTTAGGTCTTTTCTCAAACAGGGGATTCACCACTTTCTTGGCCTCCTGCTTTTTCACGACAGCAGGGGCCGGAGCCACCTTCTTTCCCTTGGCCTTCTTTCCTTTCGGCTGAGCAGAAAGAAAACGTCAGTTAAACCGCCGCCTCCACTCGCTTTGTCCGGGGTAGGTCTCAGGCTGGCTCCTCCAAAACAAGGGGCGCCGACAGCCCCCGCCTGAACGAGGCCGGCGAGCAGCGTTCTGCAGCCCCCCAACACCACCCCTCGACAGGACTGTCTCACATCAGCACGAGCACGCAGCCCCAGGAACCCCGAGCGGCCGGAGCCCGGCTAAGCCCGAGGCCACGCTCTCTTCGCGTCGCCAACCCAGGAGACACCCCGAACTCATGATCCCTCTGGATCGCGGCCCCGCAGGTTCTAGAAGCAACAGGGCGGGCTCAGAACTCGTCACTCTAGACCTCTGGAGCGGCCCCCAGGAAGCCCAGGAGATGCTAAGGCTCCGGGCGCCTCGGCCCCGTCCACTCCGAACCGCGCATTGCGGCGCTGCAGGCCCTCCTCCCCCAGCCCAGCAACACCGGGATCAACGCATCCCGCTCCCGGCCGCCCGGGGCTCTAGTCCATCTCAATGTCTCCGCGCCACACCAGGCAGGGCTCTCCTAGCGCCAGGCGGAACAGGAGGCCCTCCGCGGTCGCGCCTGGAGAAGGATGGCAGCGGATACACCACAGACCTGGCTATAATTGCACGGAAATAGCACTCACTCACCATCTTGGGCGGCGGGAGGAGAAAGAAAGAAAACGGAATTGTGGGTAATATGTATGCGGCCTTGGAGATCGCGAGAGTTGATACCGGCACAGGATTTCAGATTTAAAGCAACAGCACTCCTATAAATGTAAAAATCGAGGCGGGGCCGAGAGGCTGCGGCGCGGCGGGGAAGAGACGCAGCGGCGGGCGGGCCCGGCCGGGGGAGAGACGCGGGAAAGTGCGGGTCCCAGAGGCACTTGTCCACCCCGCCCCAGGCCGACCCGGCAGACGCGGCGTCTGGTGCGCGGGCGCTGGGGTGGGTATGAGGGTGTGGTGGGGAGTGGGGATGGAGGTAGTGGGGGGTGTGTGGGTGCGTAGGCGCAGAGGTCGGGGATCCACTTTCCTACGTGTGACTTAATTCCCCCACCCCGTCAAAAATGGGCACAAACAACGCGAGTGCTTCCAGGAGTCCGCTCGACCGTGCGCCAGGCCGCGAACCTAGGGGGCCCCGGACCCTCCCTGAGCACCGCGCGCAGAGGCCCGGCCCGAAGGCCAGGCAGGTCCAGCGCCGAGGCTGTCCAGTGCGGCTTACGGCAGAGGCCGAGAGGCGCGCGGGGCTTGAGCCCCTTGTCCCGGTGGAGGAGCCATGAGGGATGTTAAGCGAGGGAGTGGAATGACCCCACCCCCCCTTTTTTTTTTGAGACGTAGTCTCCCCCTGTTGCCCAGGCTGGAGTGCAGTGGCGTGGTCTCGGCTCACTGCAACCTGTGCTTCCCGGGTTCAAGCGGTTCTCCTGCCTTAGCCTCCCGAGTAGCTGGGACTACGGGCGCCCACCACCACTCCCCGCTAATTTTTGTATTTTCAGTAGAGACGGGGTTTCACTATGTTGGTCAGGCTAGTCTCAAACTCCTGACCTCAGGTGATCCCTGCCTTGGCCTCCCGTGCTGGGATTACAGGCGTGAGCCACCGCGCCCGGCCGGAATGACCACTTTTTAGGACCTCTTCTCTGCCGCGCAGAGACGAGGGAGCGGGGCCGCAGTGCAGGGATGAGGTCTGGAGCGGGGCAGCCGGAGTGGGAATGGAAGGAAAGCGTGGATGTAGGCGGTGCAGAAGGACTCCTCGGATGGGAGGGCGTGGTGAGGGTGGCGGCGCGCGAAGAAGTTATGCCAGGGGCTGGTGATGAGCTTGCAGGCCTCTCTGGGACACTCTGTGGGCCTGGATATGAAGTTTGGACTGCAGCCCTGGACAGGGCTTGGAGGGCTGGCCAGGAGTTCCAGGATGAGCTTGCTCTGGCAAAGGCGGGGCCAGAGGAGAGTCCTGGAACCCCCTGCAGTGCCTGCTGATGGACTGAGTTCATCTGTGTTTCAGTGATTGACTTTATTTGGCAGAAAGAGAATCCCCAGAAATCTGCGTGTTCTGCTAAGGTTGGGGCATAGAGGGTGCCTGGGTTGACTCTGCCTGCACTCAGAGGTCTGTGCTGCACTCTAAGGTCCCAGGTCTTCCCGCTGCGCTGCCTGAGGCTCGGCCATGGCCCAGCAGAGAGCCCTGCCCCAGAGCAAGGAGACGCTGCTGCAGTCCTACAACAAGCGGCTGAAGGATGACATTAAGTCCATCATGGATAACTTCACCGAGATCATCAAGACCGCCAAGGTGGGGGTGGGGGGGACCACCAAGGGAAGCAGGGTTTGGGAAGAGATGGAGACAGGAGAGGCCAGGGGCTGAGCAGCGTGAGTGAATAGTGTTCCAGGCAGGAAGCACCCAGTGCACAGGGAGCTGGTCAGTAGATACACCAAATAATGGCACGTCCTGGCAAAGCAGCGCAGGGGACTCTGGCTGGACTGCCGCGGCCCCATGTCCAGCCCTTACTAACAGTATGGGTTTGGGTGGAGATTTCACTTTTTAGTGCTTCAGTTTCTCCTGCTTTGTGGGGTCCTTATGATGACTGGTGAGTTTACCTGTGTAAAACACTTACTTTGGGCACAGAGCCAGTGAGCAGGAGAAAGGAGCAGACTGAGCAGGAGCAGACTGAGGGGAGAAGTGGGGGGCCCTCCAGGCAGGTGGAGCGGTCGGCACTGGGGCCTGCAAGCCTGCTGACTGCTGCAGCTGCACTAGATTGGGCTGGATCCTTCCTGGCTGTTGCAGACCTGCCGGCTCCATAAGCAACGATGATAAGTATGGACGCTGGCATGTACTAAGTGCTTGCCATGTGTCAAACCACGTTGTGAGGCTGTCTGTGCCTGTTCTGCTGAATCTTCATGAGGAGTCTGTGAGGTGGGCACTGTTGTCCTCTTCATTTCAGGAGGAAACCCAGGCCCAGGAGACTTAGTGACTTGCCCAAGGTGACTCAGCTCATAACTGGCTGAGCCAGGATTTGAACCCACAAAGTCTAGGTCTTAACCACTGAGGGTACCTGACACCCACCCTGAGCTGAGCCCTTGCAAGACCTGCTGGGAAGCCCTGTCCAGGTTAGCCGAACGCACTGGCTGGGCTCCTGGCCCCTCTGTTCACCATCTGAGACTCCTTGACCACCAGTCTGTCCCAGCCTCGCTTGGCCACCTATAAACCAGGGGTGGCAGGGCAGGCTTCTGTGAAAATGTCATGGGCTAATAGTGGTCAAGTGCGTGACACAGCCTGGCACCTGGGAAGTGATCAGGAAATGGTCGCTGAAAAAAAAATACATCATCCCTTCACTCATCCAGCAGTTTACCAAATGCCAAGCAAGTGACAAGGGTTCCTGCCAGACAGGGCTCCCACAGCCCAAAAAGACTGGTCCAAGATAAGCCCCCATCCCTGCATGTAGCACAGTAAGCAGTGTGAGTTGCCTCCATTTGTCTTGAGCAAGGTGCCTGTTGTCTCCCATGGCCAGAACAAGAGAGGATGGAACTGAACCTTGCCAGAGGTCTGGCTGACAGCGCTCAGGTCTGTAGACAGCACCACAGACAGGTTGTGGATAGTGTGGGCATCCTGGGCAGATGACAGTTACCATAAGCTGGGCTGGGCCGGGCCAGGGGTGCCGATGCCTTGACTGGGTTGATTCTAGGTTTTCTTGTTTGCCCCCAGATTGAGGACGAGACGCAGGTGTCACGGGCCACTCAGGGTGAACAGGACAATTACGAGATGCACGTGCGAGCCGCCAACATTGTGAGTGGCCAGGCTGGAGGGCACAGCCTGGGCTCCGGGAGCATCTGTCCCGGCTGGGGTTTCCTGGGTGGCGTGTAGGGGGTTCTGGGGCTGGTCTGCTCTTCTTCCCCCGAGAAGGAGCAGAAGGAGGCAAATGTAGAGATGCTTTGGTTTCACCAGTCAGCAGCTTTAAAGAATGAGGTGGGGCAAATCATTTCTCAGGAGACTGTCCTCACGTAGGGCACTTGGAGGAGGGCTGGGCAGAGAGCCACCCATACCTGTCCTGTAGCTGTGCAGTGGCCAGGAAGAGGGCAGCCCTTCCTGCTAACTCACGAGTTCCTAAGGTCAGTTGTGAGTGAAAAGACAAACAGCTGAATGGAACTGTAGGCGCCATCGGATTCCTTCGGATCACAGGAGAAACACAGCAAGCAGATATTCCCGCAGGTGCACGTCCAGGGCTCAAAATGCATGGCAAAAGATCTCGCAGGAGCTCTACCCAGCTGGCAGCCATGCTACCCCTACCCCGGGGCAGGAGGCAAAATGGGATCGTAGTTTTATCTGTGGGGTTTGAGTTTTTCATGAGCAGAATGTGCACCTGCATGATTGGACTGAAGGCCAGTCCTGCAGGAGTGGAAGCCAGAGGCTGAGGGAGGGGAGGGCCTGCCCTGCAGAACTGACATCCTAGTTTGCTCAGTTAATTCTCACAAATGAACTTGTGGAGGTCAGGGGTAGAATCCCACTTTGCAGATGAGAAGCTGAGGCTCCCAGAGAGGCCATCCCTTGCCCCACATCAGCCACCTGCAGGCAGGGCCGCTGTCACCCCCTCACCCTGTGCCCGCCCTCGTTCTGATGGCCACAGGTCCGAGCCGGCGAGTCCCTGATGAAGCTGGTGTCCGACCTCAAGCAGTTCCTGATCCTCAATGACTTCCCCTCAGTGAATGAGGCCATCGACCAGCGCAATCAGCAGCTGCGCGCACTGCAGGAGGAGTGCGACCGGAAGCTCATCACACTGCGAGACGAGATCTCCATCGACCTCTATGAGCTGGAGGAGGAGTATTACTCGTCCAGGTATAAATAGCGCTGGACTCCCCATGCAGAGCGGGAGCCCGCCTACCTGGGCCTGGCCAGCAGGCAAGGCTGCCTTCTGCTTTTTCAAATTCTTGCTGGTCTTGGCAGTGGAGCCGTGCCTGGGTTTCAGAGCAGAGCTTCTGACCAGAGCGTTTGATCGACAGACAATTCACAACCATCTGCCAGAGCCCTGGGCCTTTCCCACAGTGCAGTGTGATGAAAACCACAGGACTCAATGCCAGTCGGATAGGCCAGGTCTGGAGAAGGGAGGCGCCTGGCTGTATCCCCCGCAGGTCCTCTTCCGAGAGCCTTCCTCCTCAGGCAGTGCCTTCTGGGGCTGGGCTGCTCCTGTTAGCTTCTGAATCCATATGTAGAGATTTCAGCCAAGGCCGGGCCAGCCCCTCTTGGGCAGTCAGGTCCACACCTATGTCCAGGGCACCCGGGTTACAATTCCATGTGGATGTCACCAAGCCCCAGTGTGGAGGCAGGGACAGTCATAGGAGTGTGGGGGGATGAAGCCCAGGCAGGGAATGAGGGAATGGCCTTGAAAGCCGTTGGACCTCCAGTTTCTGACCCACTCAGCCTTATCCACGGAGCTGGAGCCGACCTACATGCCAGGCCTCGTGCTGGGCCCCGGGGATGCAGAAGGGTCAAAACCCATTATCCTGACCCTCGTGGGGCCATGTAAGAAGCTGAAACCTTCGGCCGTTTGAGCTGGAGGGGCCCTGAGAAATCAGAGTCCACGTATCATTTACCTGGGGTAAACTTAGGCTGGAGACAGGGAGGCCCTCCACTCTGCCCCATTAACTTAGAAAATCAAGATTCAGTCCAGCAGACGCAGTGTCCGTGTCCATCTTGTGCCTTCTCCTGGACAAACCTT